GCCGGACGAGGTGAGCCGTGGGCCGACCAGGCTGGCGCCTCAGCAGTGCTTTCCCTGCCCTTGCGGTTGCCAGAGGCGCAAGGCGATCCGGCGACGAGCCAGCCCGCTGGCGATGGCTTTCCGCCACCGTAGAGAGGAACAGCGGCCCAGATTCTGCCTCCAGGGCTGCTGCGAAACTGCGGTGTGATCGCGTACCGCATTCCCGAAGTATTAGGTACACAGTGGTCACACTGCTGCTGCTGTCGGCTGTGAGCGGAAACGGTCTGGAAAAGGAGTGGGCCACAGTATGCGTTTTCTTCTTCTGTGGTCTAGAACGCGGAATCTATACCCAGTTTGCAGGACAGGCAGAAGGTTGTTTCTTCCTTTTATTTCATCCTTTAAGGTAGGTAGGCAAGGCAGCCAGAGGACTGCTGCCAGTCATCCCAGAGAAAGTATCTGAAATACGACACAAATAGGCTTTCACTCCTAGCAGGAGTAGCCAGAGGCCTGGGTATCCGTGGTAGAATTTAATGCATTTTATTCACTCTTTGGTACCAGGGATCGAACTCGGGACCTTGCCCTTGCGAGGCAGGCGGTAGCACCACTGAGCCAAATCCCTGGCCATTCACACTTCCTTTAGGCCTGCGTTGTCACTTATCTGGACATCAAGCACCCCTTACTTGTCATTCTGTCCTCCTTGGGAACCCTGAGGGATTAGAAGATCACACAGATTATTCAAATGACAGTTCTTTTCCATCTGTTATTCAGACATAGAACTTCTGTCTATCCATAGTATGATGGAGTTTAGAATAGTTCGAAAGAAGATAATCCTTGCATTTGAAGATAGTTGAAGTCACACCAAAAGAAAAGAGCCTCAGCAGTAACGCACTGTGTACTTCCTGTCATAAGTTATCTTCCTGATAGTGCAGTTAATGAAAATTAACTTGTGTACCTGAAAGTAGGCTTTGGGTCTGACATGATGTTGGCACCATTCCTTTTGTGTTTCTATGACAAAATGTTTGTGAAAAAGACACTTGCACTGCATTTTCTTAAAACTGGTTTTTGCGCAGCTACCTTTTGTATCCTTCAGCATAGTTCTTTCATCTTAAGAAGTATAAACATAAACGATTAAGAATTGGACTGTGAAGCCAAAGCCATCTGCCTGCCTTTGAATTCTGGGTATATCAGCATCTTCAGCAAATTAATCTTCCTAAACCTCATTTGGAAAATTGAAAACATAGTAGGATTGCCATAGGCATTAAAGGAGGTAAACTATTGATAATGTTTGGTACTTTTTCTGGCACGTAGTAAACACATAAAAATCTCGTTTGTTGTATTTGGGTATAGTGAGTAAAATAATTTTAATTCACTTAAAAGGAAGTTAATGAAAAGTAAACCTAACAGGTGGGATTTTCTGCTGTTAGTAAACAGTTCTTAGCTAATCCATGGTGCCTCACACTGTTCTTTATATTCTATCTTTAGACCATTCCTTCAGTCTATTTAGTTCTGGGTGTTTTCACCGGGCCCTAACATATGACAGTGTACCCAACAATAGGCCTTATTTGGTGTTTATTGTGATTCAGAGATGATGATGCAAGTTCATTTTCTGACGAATTTGATTCAGACTTAAGGATGGTTAGGTGAACTTTGATCCAGCCACTTTTCCTTTTTTAATGTTTTTTCCCCCCTTAAAATACAAAGGTTAGGGCTGGGGATTTAGCTTAGTGGTTGTGCCGCCTGCCTTGCAAACTCAGTGTCCTGAGTTTGATCCCCAATACTCACTCCCCACAAAAAATTTTAATATAACAAAGGTTATATTAAATAATTTTTAAAAGGCCTGTTCTACCTTTGAAGTTCCAGTAGAAGTATCTTATGTGTATGCACAGAGTTATAGCCACTTGAGATATTTACCATTTGAGCCTTTCATCTCTGTCAGATAGGCCTCATTGAATTTTTCCCTGTAGTGGCTTTCTCTGACAGCCTCATGAGCTCTGTGTCTGTGTAAAGCTTGCTGGGCACTGTCATTTTTGTGGTTTCAGTCTTTCAGGCATATTTCCTTTTTCTGTATTTCGCAGCCCTTGGTATAGCACTTGTCTTATTGTACTGTAATTTTTTTTTTAAATCTTTTGCCTCAATAGGCTTTGAGGATTTTTTTGTTGTTGTTGCTGTTGTTTTTTGGCTTTCTTTTTTTGAGACAGGGTCTCACTATGTCATTCAAGCTGGCCTTAAACTCTATGAAGCCCAGGCTGGCCATGAAACTCATGGCAGGCCTCTTGCCTCAGTCTGCTGAGTACAGGGATTACAAGTACGTATCACCACACCCGGCAACAGACTTTAGTTCTTTTTTTTGGTACCGGGTATCAAACTCAGGACCTTTCTCTGGCAAGGCAGGCATGGGACCACTGAGCTACATCCCCAGCCCAGGCTTTAGTTCTTAATGGAACCATCTTGGTGTGCTTTTTGCATAACAGATACAAGATGATGCCGTGTGGCTGACCCAAGGAAGTGTGACTTAGAGCTGGATGACCCATGTCAGCTAAAGGAGTTGGGGCTGGGCATGAACACCTGGGGGAAGACCGTGCAAAGAGTTCAGATTGAAATCAAACTTTGGAGCCGGGGATTTACCTCAGTGGTTCTGCCACATGCCTTGCAAGCGCAAGGGCCTGAGTTCAATCCCCTGTACCAAAAAAAAAAAAAGCAATCAAACAGTGAGCAGATATTTTAATCTGGTTAGATGGTGAAACCTGGAGAGAGTCCAGATTCAAGTGTGTATTGGGAGTTTGTGATTCAAAAATGAGAGACATGGACTCTGACGCCACTGGGGACTCAGACGCAGTCCTGGCCATAAAAAAGGGCTCTATCTGTTCTCATTGTGAGAAAAGTCACCCTGGGTATCTACACTTCCTGACAGCATTTCTCCATCTCAGAGCCCTGGATCATGGAGGATCATTTTTTGTCTCTTTAGAGGCTGCTGCTGAGTGATTACTCTGTAGTATAACGTTGACTTTCCTCCTTGTAAGCTGCACACAAAAACTACATGTACGTCGCTAGATCATCTAGTGGCTTGTCATGTCTTACAGTTACCATTTCTTCTTCTAAACCATTGTAACCCCAAAAGTCCATTTCACATACATGTGTATTTTGTTCTGATCCCCTTGACCACAGTGTTAGTTAATCTTTACAGATTTGCTAATTGATCTTGCTCGGAGGGATTGTTTCTGGCAATGCCACGGGCACAGGACATTTTGCCAGTCTTCAAACAATGCCTGGCTGTCCTGCAGGGAGATGCTCTTGCTCATGGTGTGTGGCTGAGTTGGCAGCTGCAGCTCATGGAGGGCAAATCCTCATATACTGCAAAGCCTTTCCCTACAGCCCTTCTTCTCACCAGTGCCCAGTGGCCACAGCCCACAGCACCAGTACGTCAACCCTGTGGGCCTCAGGAGTTCCTCCACCTCCAGGACAGTGAGTCTTTCTCCTTGCGCTTGAACACTTTTCCTTTTCTCTCACTCTCCTTTCCTTCTGAGGTTTGCTGCCTCCAATTCTCTCCTGACCAGATTTCCTGATCTGAGAAATTTACAGTAATCAGGCTCTTGCTTCTCCAGGATGAGAAGTCTCTTTTCCCTCACAGCTGACCTGTGACCAGGGCTGGTTTATGAGTCTCCTCACCAAGGTCCGTCCAGCCCGGCCAGCTGGACAGTCCGGCCCCAGCACTGTGGATGGCTCCAAGTTTCACTTCCTAGGCAGAGGCTTGCTCTCCGGGTGTCCCAGATTGCAGCATGCTCGGTCCCTCTGGACATGGGAGGCCCGGCAGTCTCCAGGTATCCCTTTTCGGGTGGATGCTGCAGTTCAGCAGGACTCAGTGATGGGCCCTGGGTCCTCTGCCCCTTATGACTCACGGGCTGCGTTCTTAAGAATTGGTATAAATCTGATCCCCAGACTCTCAAGGAGAAGCATGTCCTCTGTTGTGCCAAGATCAGGAAATGCTGTTGTTTGTTAATAAAAATAGGAGTTTTTTATAATAAAGGAAAAGTCTGGGCAAGTCTCCAGCACCATGGGATGGCCCCTCCTCAGGATAGCAGCAGCAGAGGCAGAGCTCCAAGCTCACGCAAGAGCTTGGACAAGAGGAAGAGAACAGGAGGGATATCCGGGAGCGCACCCTGGAAAATGGAGATGGAGGGAAGCGGGCTGGGCCTCAGATGGCTCTCGCTGGAGCCTGAACCGAGCTGCTGTGGAGAGCACATCAGGCTGCAGAGCAGCTGTCGGGCAGAAAGTGTGGCTCTTTGGTTACATGCAGCCTGCGCTGGGTCCTGGGAGTGGCAGGGCTGGATTTGGTGCCTTTCAACAGGTACCAGGTGGGCAAGTGAGCCTTCCTGGTGAGGTAATGTGTCCACGGGGACACGTCTTGGCTGATCGGTAAATCTACCTTTACATTCTGTGGTTTTTAAATTGATAATTTAACTAACATGCCCAAAACATTGTAAACAACTTTGGGAGAATTCCTGAATTGCAGTTGGAGGGTTAACTTGTTCCATCTACTTTCTGCTGGTGCTAAGATATTTTACTCTCCAGGATTACTTGAAAGTCTGTTGTTCAGCCAGTCCCAATGTAAACATCTGTGAGTTCACAAGAGAAAGTAAAATGTGTCACAGGCACTTTTAAATACAAAAGGTCATAGGGCTTATGACAAAAGGAAAACAGCCCATCATTTTGACAGTGTTGCCAGTTAAAACCTGGTCTGTGTCACTTATGCATCTGGTAATACGTCTGTTTGTCAGTTATGTTAAACCTACTGATATATAAAAAGTTTAAAGACAGCATGACTCTGATAATGTAAAGGATTAGATATTAATCACCTAAGAAATACATCTTTTAAAAAAAGCTTATTGGTCCTGATGTAATGGCCGTCATGATTGTTACCTTAAATGCTATATAAAATAAATTACCTTATCAGTTAATAAACTCTTAGAAGTCTAGAACTTTTGACATCCATAGTTATGTTTCTTCTCTACAACATTTTCAATCAAACTCATGAAAAAGACTCAAAATTGTTATATCAACTCAGTTTGTTTTGCTCTGGTTGATTTTATTTTGTACTTTCCTTTTAAAACTTTGTAACTTTGTTCCTTAAAATTCTACAAAAGCACAACTCCCAACAGATATCTGGTCCCACATTTTGAGATGTTGACCGTCACCTAAAAAGAAATAAAGTCAAATTGAGCAAAGGACTGCAGGTAAATTTGGCTTAAGAACCTCTTTATTGTTTGAATGTGGCTAAAAAGGGGGCTGTAAGACTGACTGAATTGTCAGTCTCATCGCCTCCAATGTGGGACCAGGTAAGACCAACAACCAGAGCAGCCTTCTGACTACGAGGAACAGTGGGAAGCAATTATCGATCGGTGATACCTTTAAGAAACTCTTTAAGATGAGAGGAGATAGCAAGAATGCATGAGTAATGTCAAAACCATGATGGAGCTGCTTGTGTCAGCCCTACCAAAAGAGAAATAGAGCCAAGAGGTTATAAAAAAAAGGTTCTTACACACAAATGCCTCATAAATATCACAGAAAACTGCCAAAATCTTGTTTATCCTGAGTTAATTTAATCGTAAATCCACCTGGCTTGCCAGTAAAAAATCTAGCTTCCCTTAAGTACATTTTCATTTACTATTCTTGGTGCAGTTTGCATCAGTGGTGATCCCAGTCCTTCCCACTCAGCCCCTCAGTCTGTATTTGTTCAGAGCAGGCTAAGCCTTTACTTCTGACCAGGCCCATTGATATCTGATGACTCAGCAGACTCATTCGAGCCCCCTTCCTTCTCATAACCCACTCTCCACTGGACACAGATAACGAAGGAAGAAAACTCCACCTATATGTGAAAGATTTGACTTTGTTGATCTGTCATGGTGGGAATAATGGGGGCTGAACAGGCAGAAAATAATCTGCAGTGGCAATGCAGTTACAGTGAACCTGCACAGGTTAAACTGCACATAAAAGTAAATAATAAGCAGCTTTTGAATTGAAACACATATTTCTTTCTAATGGCCTGTTTATAAGCCTTAAGAGTCTTCTGTGAGAACCAAAGTAGTGAACCATGTCCAACTGGCTGCTTTAATGTGTAAATAGTAATGTAGTACAGGTGCCCTTCTGAGATTAACACTGTAAGCTGGCTTAAAGAAAGGTGTTACATAGTGGTACCTCAGCTTATCAACTTAGTTCTTTCCATGATTCTGGTCAAAAACTGACTTGGACGAGAACTGAATCAAATTTCCCTGTAAGGTCAACACTGAACCTAACCATTGAATTTAGTTTGGTTCTCATCCAATTTGGTTTGTGACCAGAATCATGGAAAGAATTAAGTTTGTGAATGAAGGTACCAATGTAGTTTATATCTAGATGGCCCCCCAAAGCCTCATGCACTCATAGGCATAGGATTAATCAATCCACTGTTAAGTTTATAGCTAAATGTGCTGTTAAGCAGGGGGGTAGGGGGAGGCTCATGGGAAGGGGTGGGTCACTGGGAACGAGACCTAGAAGGTATATTTCCCTCCATGGCTCTTCCCTTTGTGCCCTATTTCCTGTCTGCCATAAGGTAAGCAACTTCCCTCTGTCAAGCCCCTCTGCCATCTGTTTTTTCTTTGGTGCCAGATGACCATGGGCTGAAACACAAGCCAAAATAAATCTTACCTCGTTTACATTGTGGGTGTCAGGTATTGTGTCCCAGCAGTGAGAAAAGTAACTTGAGACAGACTTTGGTGTCAGAAGTGGGATTGTTGCTGGGTGGGATGCTACCTGACCTTGTGGTTCAGAACCCTTTAGAGCTGATTTGCGGGGGAGGAGTTTGAAAAATTCTGAAGATACCATCTGGAAAAACTGCCTGAGAATGCTGTAAGCTAAGCTTGATGGGAGATTCTGGTCAGAGCCCAGAAGACCAAAAGGCTGGTATAAAGGCAGACAGTAAAAACCAGGCTTAGGAGGTTCCAGTTGGGTACAAGGACTTCAGTGGCACTCCAGACCTTGTGTGTTATTATTTTGCAGAAAATTTATCAACATTTTGCTTCTGTCCCTTTATGGGGGACTAAAATTAAGGATGGTAGACTAATTAATCTGTGTCATGGTTTATATGTAGATATCCCCCTAACCCCTTGCGCTCTTAGGTAGGGCTTTAGGGAAGTGATTGGATGGTGGGGATTATGGATTAGTCCACTAATGAGTTCACACCTGAATATGATATTGGGAGATGAAGCATAGTTGAAGGAGGTGGGTCACTGGGAACATAGCCTGGAAGAGTATATCTCGCTCCTTCCTTCCTCTCCTTCTTCCTATCTGGCACACTTTGAGCACTTCTCCTCTCCATGCCATTTGGCCTTGGAGCCAGCTCACTATGGGCTGAAACTTCTACAAACGGTAAGCCAAGATACGCTCTTCCTCCTTTAAATTGTGAGTGTTGAGTATTACGCCTCAGCAAGAAAAGTAACTAGGTCTGACAGGAAATTTCAAGGCAGCCCAATGTTGAGGTTGTGGCATGGATAGGTTGGAGCTTTTAGCCAGGTTTGTACTGAAAATCAGGAGCAAAAAGCCCATGTAAGAATTTTTTTTCACTTTTGCTGGAAAAGAAATGCCTGGGAGGACAGGGATATAAAGTAGGTGTAGAGGAGAGCTCAGCTGCGGAAAAGATTAGCACAATAGGAAAGATGGCTTGAGGGCATCACAGGACCACAATGGCCCTATCCTTGTAGGCTGAAAATTGCAAAAGGGAAAGACTTTGCTTTGAGAGGAGAGCCCCAGGGCCCTCTACTTAAGAATGGTCATCTAGGAAATTGGCTTCTTGTTATTCTGTTCACAATGCTCAGCCATCCCAGGCATTCAAAGACCCCTCAACCATGACACAGAAGGGTCTGGCTGCTTCTACAGCTGACCTATCTTGGTGTGACCTATGAGGGTGCTGTTTTTACAGGCATGCAGAATACAAGAGCTGTTTTGTGGAGGAGGCTTCCACCCAGATTTTAGAAGAAGTCTGGGAGGCCAGGCAGTGTGCCCCTCAGAGGGCAGTGTGTAAGGTTGTCAGAGTGAAGCTGAACGCGCAGTGGAGACCACAGGAAGTTGGAGGAGCGAGGAACGCGGACCATCTGGGGAGTCAGGCTGTGAGCAAAGCCCCTCAAGAGAGGTTATCAGGGCTTCAGCCACCAGCAGTGCCACAGGCACAGGTCCGGCCAGTCGCTGTGGAATCACACCTTGTGGCTATAACTTGCCCCGAGTGCTGGGCACGGAGCTCCAGGAGTTGCTTTTGCCACTTGGATGTTGGTCTTGCCTTGTGCCCCGTTTCTCCTTTGGAGTGCCGGTGTGTTGGTCCCTGTGGGTGTGACCTGGCTCTGCTCTGGCTGCTGCCTTCGTGGGCTGCTTCCTGACCACACGGATTGAATGGTTTTGCTCCACTCTGCGCCCATTGCCTGTCTTCCTGCCCTGCAGTCAGCTGACTGTGGACCACCAGGCCTGGCGAACAGTTCATTTTTAATCAGAAAATAGATGCATTTAAAAAGAAAGTGGACCTGGGAGCAGTGATGATGCATAACTGGTAGGCTGAGGCAGTAGGAGTGCGAATTTGAGCCTAGCCTGGTAACTTAACAACTGAACAAAACCCTGTGTCAGAATTCAAATAAAAAAAGAAGTTTAAGGGGTGGGGATGTAGGTCGTGAGAAGACCCCAGGTTAAATTCCCAGTACCAAAAGAAAAAGGAAGGGAAATTGAGTAGGTTTTTTTAAAAATAAAATTTAAATTTTTAAGGGATTGTAATTTACAGAGGCTCACCTGAAATTGGTTCAACCTGGTAGATTTGAACAAAATAGCAAGATCTGTTAGTTGACTTTAAAAGCCCAAGGAGGACTTGGGATTTGTTTGTTTGTTTGTTTTTTTTCTTTTGAGACAGGGTCTCACTATGTAGTTGAGACTGACCTGGAACTCACTATGTAGCCCAGGCTGGTCTCGAACTCACAGTGATCCTCCTGCCTCAGCCTCCCGAGTGCTGGGTTTACAGGCTTGTGCCACCACACCTGGCAGGACTTGGGATTTGAATATGAAATAGTAACTTTAATAAATCAAATCAAAGTAGCCTGTGAATAGCCTTTGCCGTGTACAAACTCATTTGTAATGTGCTTAAAAACCTCTTAAATAAATGAGGCATGAGTCAGTGATGGGCTTGTAAAACCTAGGTGTGTTATCCTTTTTTAAGAAAGTGTTTGTCGGGGCCGTGGATTTAGCTCAGTGGTTTGGTGGCCTGCCTTGCAAGCGCGAGGACCCGAGTTCAATCTCCAGTACCAAAAAAAAAAAAAAAAAAACAAAGAAAGAAAGTGTTTGTCTTCAAAGAGAAACAGTGATAGCATCACTTTTAGGCATTGGCAGGAATTTCAGTGATTTCTTATCATGTGGTAAAACACAAATTACTTGAAGTTGTTAAGTGGCTTCAAGTATGGCTTTGCCATCCGCAGCTGTTACTTGAAACAAAGTAAGCTAAAGTCTGTGCAGCCTCATTGCTCTGTGACCAGTTGTTCGCCAGCCAGCCAGACGCACGCAGATGAGTGAGTCCTTGTCTTACATGCTCACTGTCAGAGTGGTTTCCATTTCTCTTATCTCTCATCTGCTACTCAATCCTAGAGGGTGGCCAGATGCCATTAATCTTCCCGCTTCACCTGCATTTCCAGTGTTCTTGCAATATTTGCTGGTCTTAGATTTCTTTGTTTTTTTTGGTACCAGGGATTGAACTCGGGTCCTTGAGCCTGCAAGGCAGGCGGCAAAACCACTGAGCTAAATCCCCTGCCCGGTCTTAGATTTCTTAAAGACACAAAATCTCTGTGCTCACGCATTCAGAGTTTTTTTTCACCTTGTTGCTTTCATACTGTGATTTCTATCTGATTCTTTGGACCCGGCTGGACTTTTTGTTTGTCTCCTTACCATAAAGACAGTTGCAGTTCTTATATGACCTGGACTACGTGGTCATATTACACCAGTTCCTGCTTTGCTGCTTCCAAATGTACACCATTTACATTTTCTGCTTCGTATTAAAATAATGGGAACAAATGATTCAAAAATTAACAGTCTCTGCTGTGTTCATTTCTGTGAAATGATAACATTTTGAGGTGTGTTTTTCTTTTTCAGCGTCATTCTTCCACTCCCTCAGAATGTAAAGGATTATTTACTAGACGATGGAACGCTGGTGGTTTCAGGAAGGTAAAGTATATCAGAAAAAAATTTCTTTAAACTTTATCATAAAGAATGCTGTAATGAGTAAATTTCAGCATTTATCATATAAAATGAATAAATTAGCTTGAGCGTCTTTCCCTCAGTCATTCAGGTCTTTTTTTTCTTCTTAGCTAAAATTATGCGCTGATCTTTATCCTATATTCCTTATCAGTGTTCAATTAATATTTTCAAAATTGAGCACTTTTCCCTCTAATAATAACTAGTTGTGAAATTGCAGGATTCCTTTCATTTCTGCTTTAGAGAGCAACTAGACTGATACCTGTACCTTCTGAAGGTAGCTGGATGAGGGATAGGACACATTGTAACCCTTTGGGATCCTCCAGTTGTTAAGGTAAAAATTCAGTGTCCATTGCAAGCAGGAAGCTTCACTGGGGTTTATCATTTAAATCCTCGACATTTTGTTCCCCACAGTTGATCCACGATGGCGCCACCCCTCCCTCCTAGATGCTGTTCAGGTAGTTCCCCTATTTGTAGGATAAAGGGAAGGCCTTGTATGTGTCTTTTTAGTGCAAATTTGAGAAAGTTTTAAAATCATTGGTTGGTTGCTGTTGTTTGAGAGGGATCCAGGCCCCGCCTCACACATGCAAGGCTAGTGCTGTACCACCGACCCACATCCCCACCCATAGGACTTGGGGATTCCTCTTTCCCATGCGGGCCTCTGCTCTGAAGCTATGTCATCTAAATGTCCACCCTCACCATCCTTTCTGAAGTAGCCCAAGAGCAAGCCTGGCTCGCGGGTCACTCTGTCCCCTGACCTCCTTTATGCTGCTGTACTGGCACTGTTGCCACCTGACACAGTTTTCTTACTTGTTCTGTTTGAATACAGCTTCATGAGAACAGGGGCTCAGTTGCTATTTCACCCCAGCTCTTGAAACAGCTCCGGATACATGAGATGTGCTTGGTGAGCCCTCTTGGACGGATGAACCTTAGACACGTGTTTAGAGTTTTCAGTGACATTAACTTAACCCCGTGTTTTTACCCGATAGATTTTTAGTGTAGTTTTCTGGATTATATTTCCAGTTTGGGCATTCATAGCCCTTTAATCTAAAAAATCATTAATGTAAAGCTTATGAGTCTGGAATAAGTGGGGAGATAACAAAATGGTAGAAGATGTGGATAAGTCTCAAGCTGAGATACTCGCAGATATACTTTTATTCTCAAATACAGCATTTATAATGACCTGACATAGAATACAGTGTAAGTAAAATATTGGAAATCTTGATAGACTTCAGTGCTGTAAAGTACCTGAGCCGGGTCCTGAGTGCTGTGTTGGGCACCACCCTTAGCCAGCCAGCCCACCCAGTCAGCCTTGTTCCAGGACGTAGACCGCTGCTTCTGCTCCCTGACTCGGTGATAGACACCGAGTCATTTTAACATGCAGACAGCCAGCAGGCTCTCGCCTCTGAGGAGGGAGAGGAGGTGTCTGGCTCATTGTGCTTGTTCATGAGCAGTCAAAGGAACACAAAGATTCATCTGCTTTCCAGTTTCCATTAGAACACTCTCAGGTAAACAGCTTAACCTCAGCTGTCTTAAGATTTCCTTAGACCCTGCAGCATGCAGGCCCTCCTGAGTGCTCACAGAGAAGACCATTTACAGCATGGCTTTCCTCTGGTCTCCGACACTGTAAACGTTGAAGAGCCAGATGTTGCAGTAAACACTGTTAAACACTGTTGGAGCTGGGGCTATAACCTCAGTGGTGGAGCACTTGCCTAGCAGGCGTGAGGCTATGGGTCTGATGCCCAACTCCATAAGCAATAACAGAGTTCCCGTACCAGCCTTACAGCAGCACAGTGCCATACTATGCCACACAAATCCCTTGGGCACCCGCCCTCCATGGTTGACAGTTCAGCTTTGTATTTTGTGGTTGTGAAAACTGCATAATACTGCTGCTTCAGTCAGATTGCCTAGGTTCAGATCATAGCTTTGCTGTCGTGTAGCTCACTGTGTCTCAGTTTCCTTGACTGTAAACTGGGCAGATGATAAGGCAGAACTTACCTCTGGGGTTGTTGCAAGAATAAAAAGCAGTCATGTATAACATGTCCAGTCCAATTCTTATTTTTTTTGGGTTTTTTGAGACTGGGTCTCACTATGTAGTTGAGACTGACCTGGAACTCACTATGTAGTTCAGGCTGGTCTCGAACTCACGGCAATCCTCCTGCCTCAGCCTCCCAAGTGCTGGGATTACAGGCATTCGCCACCACACCCAGCTCCTAAAAAAACTCTTAAGTGATTTTTTTAGAGCAATAAAATATATTTCAAGTTTGTGGGCTTCCTTTCATATTCTAGAGATAAACCAAGGTAAAGATAATACTGCACTTAAAATATGACATGGCATGTAAAGGATGTAAGAGGAAGGCAGCTACTTGGGCAGTGACTCACCATTCAGTGGTGTGCTGACATTACACTAGCATAGTGTCTGGTTCTTAGTGTTGTGATCTAGAAACTCAGTTCTTTAGGATCACAAAATGTTGATTTAAAATTTGGGGAGCGGACACACATTAACTGAAATCACAACAGGTTAATCAGTAAACTAGAGTGTGGGTTTCTCGATTTAGAGAGGAAAGTACAGTACACCTTTCCAGTGATTGTTACTACGTCGACGAACACAGCACATGTTCTGGGCTGAACACACGAGAACAGAATCACTAACTTCATGCATCCCAGCAGTGTGCTTATACCACTGGTTCTTAATGTTGTCTTTCTCTTCAGCATTATGTCTTGATTTTCTGTCATGATCTTGGAGATTTAAGTTTCTCATGCCTTTATCTCATAATGTTTGGTTAAATCAGTTGTCAATGTTTGCAGTATTACTTTGTCATTGTTGACTACTGAGCCATGATTATGATTACCTTCTTATTTGAAAATAGCTTTTCTTTGGATTAATAATCATGTTTTAAAATTTTACTTAATTTTCCATATATCTATTGCTAATATTTTTGCAAATAGACAAAAGTAGCCAGTTAGTTATTTTTCTAAGCCTCTTAGTACAGATCCAGATGTGGCAGTTACGTTTTTCCTTCTCTGGATAGGGCTTGTTATTGAGCATTCTCCTTCCGGCTGCATGTTAAGCTGGTAGCTCTGCTTGTCTGGTACACACACAGCTGTCAGCTGTGACTTTTCTTGAGTATTGGGTTTTCTGGATTTTTCTTTGGATACCTTATGTATTGTTTCTCTTGGTTTACTCATTTTACTGATACATGTGCCCTAGAATGAATAGGAGGAAAAGTTTTTGAGTCTTTGTATGTCTAAAGATATTTTTATTCTACCCTTATACTTGATTTTGGTGGGTGGGGGTTTAGCTTAATATGGGATTCTAAGCAGAAAACTGCCCCCTGGTTTAGAAGACATAGCCCACTATCTTACAGTATCTTCTAAGGTCCCACAATGTTTTTATCTGTGTTCCTTTTTAAAAAATCTTTCTTTCCTTTTTTTTTTTTTTTTTAAAGAGGGTCTTGCTGTGTAATTCGGACTGGCCTTGTACTCACTATGCAGTCCAGGCTGGTGTTGAACTCATGGTGATCCTCCTGCCTCAGCCTCCTGAGTGTGGGATTACAGGTGTGCACCACCGTACCCAGCACACTCATACTCTCTCTCTGTCTCTCTTTATCTTTCAGTACTGGGAAATGAGTCCAGGGCATTCACACTGATAAATCTCCAGCCCCTTTTTTTAACTTTTTAGTTTTATTTTTGGTGCTGGAGATGGAACTCAGGACCTTGCACTTCCCAGGCAGGTGCGGTGACACTGAGCTACACATCCTCAGCCCTAACTTTTTAGTTTTGAGACAGGGTCTTGCTTCATTGCCCCAGCTGGGCTTAAACCTGTGGTCTTTGTGCCCCAGCCTCCTGGAGTGCTAGGATCACAGACATGCAGCACCTTGCCCAGCTGTGACTTGCTTTTCTTTATGAATGTTGTTGGGGTTCCTTCTTTCATATTTTGTATTTCATGGTAGTCATCTAAATCACGTACTATTAGGGTATGACACACCGCAGAGTGGCTGGAAACAGTAACCATTTTATTTGCCGGTGAAGTGATATCTCTGTGGTGTTGGGCGACATTTTTCCTTTGGTCCCTGTGTGTTTCTCACATTGCTGCACATCCTGCAAGAAGAGATGCTGTGGGCTTCTGTCCTTGACATCTTGTCAAGAGCACTTGTCTAGCATACAGACTAAAGCAATAGAGACGCCTTCCTGGGTGGAGCATTGCACAGGCTCATTGCACCCCAGGGTGGGAGATGGGACTCCCTGAGCGCCAGGTCCCCCGTAGGAGCGCCAGCCCAGCCGCCTGCATGGCTCCTTGACTGGCGTGAAGCTGAGGTTCGCGCCTCATGCTGTACTTCCGTGAATAAGAGTGCCCCTTGTCTCTGACCCAGCGGTCTCGTGTTTTCTGTGTGTCTGTGGCACTGTGGCAAGCCCCGTGTCAGCCAGCAGGAGAGTGAGCGCTTGGATCCCCACAGTTCTCCAGCGAGAGCTTCTTCTGCCTGTCCCGCAGAAGTTATGTGGCTAGCTAGAGTCACCTGGCGCTGTCCCAAGCCGAGCAGTCTGGACGTGGCCCTCTGGCTCGTTGCTGTGCCGCTTCCCCGGAGGCCTGCACCCTCGTAAAGGCCAGCCTTTGCTTCTCAAGGAGCAGGGGCCGCATTCCTGCCGTGTGAGATTGCGAGCCTAGGGGTGTGGGTATGTCAGTTCAGGTCAGGAAGGGTCTGGAAGCCAGGCCACACTAAGTGGTGAGAAGATGAATGCCTTTTATCAGTGGGAGAGGCAAAGGGCCTGTACGCAGGTGGGCAGGGTTACCCTGGCTCTGTGTGTCTAAGCGTAGTGGTTTTTCTTTCCTTCCATTTCTGTTTTTTTGGCACCAGGGATTGAACTCAGGTCTCTGTGCTTGCGATGCAGGCAGCAGAACCACTGAGCTAAATCCCCAGCCCTTCCTTTATTTCTTATGCTCGGTACTCAGTAAACTTGTTCTAAAGACATAGCTTCCATTTTGGAGACATTAAAAAACTTGAGGGCCAGGGATTTAGCTCAGTGGTGCTGCCACCTGCCTTGGAAGCGTAAGGTCCCAAGTTCAATCTCTGGTACCAAAGAACCCCAAACAAAACAAAAAAGCATACTTGATAATTTTTCTCAATTCTCTTTCTGGAATCCCTGTTGTTTAGGTGATAGAGCTTTAGGCAAACTTTCTGAGTTTTATTTTCTATGTTGTCTATTTGTCTGTTTAAATTTTCCTTTCTGGGTAGTTTTCTTGATTTTCTTCATTTGGCTATTGAATTTGCAGTTTCTGCAAGTTCAGTCTTTGCTCTGTCCTGTATGTGTTGGTCTCTGAGGGAGTTAGCGAGGCAGATTCTTTGCTGGGTGTGCAGACTGAGGGAGGTGCTGTGCGCCCTCTGCCCCTTGAGTGGCCTGGGTGTGAACCGCCTTGGTTTTGGCCCATAGCTTCAGCCCCATCTTCCACGTGTCCCTAAGTTCCAGCCTTTTGCTCCTGGGTAATTCTTCCCACTGGTCTTCTGTTTTTATAACTTTTCTCACCACTTTTCTCTGTAGCTGTCTCCTTTTTTGTCATCTTTGTCTTCGGAATTTTTCTTGTTTCAGTAGAGTTTCGAGAGGGAACTTAGAGGTAAAGCCACATGTTGAGGCTTCTGTTAATCTTTGTGGTCTTTGTATAGCTCCTGTGCTGCTGCTGCTTTTATTTTCCCCCACTGAATGAGTTCTTCCTAGGATTATGATTTGTAGCTGGATACTGAGGAGTGGCCAGGCAGTGTGCTGAGTACCCCGAGTCCTTTTAGCCTCTGTCGGACCACAAAGATCAGCTCCTGAATGGCCCTTTCCACCCCTCTGCTTTGCTTACAGGCTCTGTCAAAATAGCAGGCCTGAATGTCTCCCTCCCTCCCTTTCCCAAGGTCCAGTCCAGATCCAGAGTAATTCTGTCCCCAGCCCACGCGCTCAGGTTTCCTTGTACCAGGTGAGAGCTCAGTCTTGCCCCAGAGACGTCCGTCTCTTCCCACGTGTCCTGGCCGTGTCTCTCTTGCTGTCGTTCCTGCCTTTGGCAGCGCTTTTCTGTATCTTGGGGTCAGAGCCATAGGTGAGTCTTGCAGTATTTCAGAGAAGGAGTGTGAGATTTTCTTTCCCTGGTTTTTGATGATTTCTAACAAGGCAAGAGTCTTTTGCTGTCTCTTACCAGAAGTGTGCTGTCATTGCTTCCATACTGATTTTTACCAGCTTCTGTCTCAAAAAGTGAGCTTTTCCTTGTATTGCTCTTTTACAGAAAAACATAATACACTTAAAATTATGACTACACAATACCAGAGGCTTTTTCTTAATTAATTTTTGCTTTATGTTTTTAGACAAGATCCACCAACATGCTCTCGGCCAGACAGTGATGATGGAGCAGAAGAAATACAGGTTGGTAGACAATAAAACAGTCTGTTGAGTAGATGGTGCTAATTTCAGTGACCTCTGAAATGTTCTTGCTGTTTAGATCTTACATTCAGTAAAGTGATAAATCACACAAATGTATTTCTTTGTATATATTTACATATGCTTGTGTTCAAGAAAAGATGTTTCTTCCTTATGCATTGTTTTAGATGATGTACTACCTCTGGGGTCCCAAGACAGCGTTTACATTTAATGCTTTGTTTCTTCCTCTTGTCCATGCAGTGGTCTGATGACGAGAACACAGCCACGCTTACGGTAAGAGCTCAGCAGCAGCTGCATAGAGACGGCCTTGCCCTGTCACACAAGACTTGGCCTCGAGGTCCAGGTGTCCGCCTCCCAGAAGTCCCGCGTCCTCACAACTGCTAGTGTCTTTTTGTGTGGGGCCTTCCCTTTATTCTGAAAAGCACCTTGAGTCATCCTGTAACAGGCATTACAGAGGATTACAGAGGAGACAGAGTGCATATTTGCTGTTTTGGCTGTTTCTGTTACACCCTGAAAGATGGAATGGAGCCAAATATAAACTCTGATGTTCCCAGCTTGATGAGAATCAAAGTGAAAAATTTGTATTTACTTATTCAAGTATATTTAAATGGTATACAGTTGTAATTTCTTTCAAGCACACAGTATGAAACTTAAACCAGTGCTGTATTTGAGCACATGGCAGTTCTCCAGGTCCATGCGTTTTCCTACGAGTGACTCAGTTTTATCCTTCTTTATGGCTGAGTACTACTCCACTGTGCATATACATACCACATTTTCCTTTATCCATTCATCTGTTGATGGACCTATAGGCTTCTTCCATAATGTAGCTATTTTGATTTGTGAATGACCCAAAATATAAATTGTTTAAAGAGCAAAATATAAATTATTTAAAAGACAGATGGTAGGAATCAGGCTTAGACTCTGGATAAGGAAAGGGAATCGGAAAGGAGCGGTGGAGGAGAAGGGGTATAAAAATGGTCAAGATTCAGTATGTTCCATTTTCCCAAGACAAATGTAATTACTGTGTATCAAACATACTAATGTAAAAGTAAAATTAAAATATAGAAATTGATCAAGCATATTGTAGTTGTGCAGGATGAGTGCTACTACAAAATTCTTAAAATATTTTTTAAATCATAGTATTTTCTAAAGATTAAAGCACAAATTTTTGTTACTCGGAGTTGAACCCAGGATCTTTTATATGCTAGGTAGGAACTTTACCACTGAGCTACGCCCGCAAAATTTCTAAAAATAGATAAATGAAACTCTTCATACCTGGAAATAAAGGCTTTTTATAAAATTCCTTGCAAATGAATGTAAAGGCAAACAAAAGTAAATTTAAGGTACAATATATATAGCAATACAACTGTAAGAAGATACTTCTGTTTATTTTAAAGGAGGACATAATTTTCTAGCAAGTGGGGACACTAAAATTGGCATATTTCCTAGGCATAAAAAGTTAAACATGCCAAAAATACAGAAATGGGTACAGCACAGGTCCTTTTAAGAAAATCCCAGTCAGTTTGGTGTACGTGTTATTCATCTGGCATACTTGGGGCACCAAACTGGGTTCTGGGAGGTACACACAGGTGGACATAATTTCACTCTTGCCTTTGGGGTCTGTAAACCAGGGGGAAGGTAGCAGAAGGTGGGAGGAAGATGACAGGACCATCGAACCGCACAGTTGCAGCTGAGGTTATCTAGACATGCACAGAGAAGAAGCAGTATTTGACCTGCACCATAAATGGGGTGAGGAGAACCAGCATCAACTCATGTTTCAAGTATTATAGTTGGTTAAATACAGAAACTCATGTCAATGTGTGGCTTTATCCACTCACTGCTGTAGCAAAATACCTGGGACTGAATAGTTTAGAAATCATAGAAATTTGCTCACAGCTCAGGAGTCCAGGAAGTCCAAGACCGAGGCCCCAGCAGATGCAGGGTCCGATGACAGCTTACTGTCTGCTGCAGGGTGGCACTGTGTTACTGCACTCCTACGCAGCAGAACGGGTAGAAGACATGAAAGGGCCGGACAGCCCTGGAGCCTGTGAGGGCATTCGTCCTCCAAGAGCAGAGCCGTCCCGGCTTAGTCACTGCCCCAGAAGGCGTGCTCTTAACATCGCCAGGGTGGAGATTGAGTTCCACCGTGAATTTGGAGGGACACAAACATTCAAACAGAGTAGTTCGCATGTGACTCCAAGCACTAAGAAGTGAAGGAATCAGTGACGAACAGTATGATCACTGGAAGAGCATGTCATACCTCATGCTGGTTTCTAAATATTTGTCCCCCAGTTAAAGAAATCGAAGCTTCTTAAAGAAATTTGAAACTGAGGTTAGGAAAATAAAAATAAGCCAACAGAGCATGTTTTTGCCAGAAACTAGGGAAGTGCTCCAAAAATGACAACATGAGAGAAAGATCCCAGAAGCCAACTTGAATGAGCTACAACCTTGGCTTGTGCGTCATAAATAATGAGAATAATACATCACGCTGCACTAAGAATTCACAGTCCTACGGCGACACAAATAAGTGAATAAATGAGTGGGGGAGAAGTGGAAGATTTTCTCTGAAGTGTTAAAGGCACTGACTGATAAAACTTAGCAGTGATGGAATTAGAAATCGCCATTTGGCAGCCAGCCTGGTAATAACGTTTCCCCCCATTAGGTTTATTGGTACATTTAAAGCAAACAATACAGTATTTATCATTGGGATCTTGTACCTTTACGTGATATATCTTGGTTCTTGTTTTTCTCCATACCCCTGCCCTCCCTTCACCCGCTTCACCCTTCCCTATTTACAAAGACTTTGTTTCCATTTGTTCCTATTTAGATGTTTTTTCTTGTTTTTATGTTTTCTTTTCTTTTTTTTATCTTACTGAGTTTATTGGTACTTTGTAAGTATACAGTACAGTTACATTAATCATTGGGATCTTGTACTCTTACGTGACAGATCTTGGTTCTTATTTTTCCCCATACCCCTGTTATCTTGTATCTTGGTTCTTGTTTTTCTCCATACCCCTGCCCTCCCTTCACCCGCTTCACCCTTCCCTATTTACAAAGACTTTGTTTCCATTTGTTCCTATTTAGATGTTTTTTCTTGTTTTTATGTTTTCTTTTCTTTTTTTTATCTTACTGAGTTTATTGGTACTTTGTAAGTATACAGTACAGTTACATTAATCATTGGGATCTTGTACTCTTACGTGACAGATCTTGGTTCTTATTTTTCCCCATACCCCTGCCCTCCCTCTACCCGCTCCACCCTTCCCTATTTACAAAGACTTTGTTTCCATTTGACATTTTTTCTTTTCCCTTATTTCCTTTCCCCTACCCTTCCCACTTCCCCTTTGGCCATTTTCTTCCTATTTCACACTCTTGGTTATACCATTTGAACCTTATTTATGCTTTTACTTTTTCATACCAGAGAAACTATTCAGTAGTTACTCTAGTGTGTCCTATTTATTTCACAAGAGTATAGCCTCCATATGCATCCATTTAGCTGTAAATGTTTCTAGTTTCTCATTCTTTATGGCTTAGTAGTACTCCGTTTTATAGAAAAACCACATCTTTAGTCTCCAGTTGAGCATTTGGGCTGTTTCCAAGATTTAGCTATTACAAACTGTGCCACGATAAATATGGGTGCACATAAGGCTGTTGTATGATTCTTTTAATTTTTTTGGAAAGATACTCAGCAGAGGGATACCCAGCAGAGGGATAGCTGGGTCAAATGGAACCTCTAATCCTAGTTCTTTGAGGTATCTCCATATTGATTTCCACAGTGGTTGCACCAGTCTGCACTCCCACCAACAATGGAGAAGGGTTCCTTTCTCCCCACAGCCTGCCAACATTTGTTATTGGTTGATTTGTTGATAGCAGCCATTCTTTGTGGGATGAGGTGGAATCTTGGTGTTATTTTCATCTGCATCTCTCGAATGACCAGTGATGCTGAACATTTTTAAAAAATATTTATTTGCTACTTTTACTTGTTTGTCTGAGGAATGTCTTTTCATTTCAGATGCTCATTTTTAAATTGGGTCTTTTGTACTTGGGGGGTTCTGATTTTTTGGAGTTCTTTATACATTCTAGATAGTAGTCCTTTGTCTAAGGAGTAGCTGGTAAAAATTTTTTCCCACATTGTCGGTTGACTCTTAGCTCTATTGGTGATATCTCTTGCACTGCAAAACCTTTTTAATACAGTGAGATCCCAGTTGTTGATTCTTTGTGCAAGTTCTCATGCTGCTGAGGATTTGTTCATAAAGTCTTCAATGCTAGTGTCTTCGAGAGTTGTACCTAATTTACTTTCCAGTAAGCTTAGTGTTTCTGGTTTGATATTTACATCTTTAGTCCACTTGGATTTTAGTTTAGTGCAGGGTGAATATAGGGATCTAGTTTTAATCTTTTACAAGTTGAAAGCCAGTTTTTCCAACACCATTTATTAAAGAGGCTATCTTTCCTCCAGTGAGGATGGTTGGCTCTTTTGTCAAAGATGAGTATGTCTGGTGTTGTTTCTGCATCTTCTAATCTATTCCTTTGATCCTCAGGTCTGTTTCTTTGCCAGTACCATGCTGTTTTTATCACAGTGGCTTTGTAGTATAGTTTCAAGTTGGGGATTGCGATACCCTTCCATGTCTCTGTTGCCCAGAATGTTTTTTGCTATTGTAGGTCTTCTCTGGTTATAAATGAATTTTTGGATTGTTTTCTCAAGTTCTGTGAAATATGCTGTTGGGATTTAAATCAGGATCTCATTGAATCTGTATAGCAGTTTTAGAAGTATGGCCATTTTCACTATGTTGATTCTTCCTACCAGGAACAAGGGATGTCTTTCCATTTTCTTATATCCTTTTCGATCTCTTTTTTTCAGAGTGCTGTAGTTTTCATTGTAGAGGTCTTTTGTTTCCATTAGATTCCTAGATCATTTCTTTGTATGTTATTGTGAAAGGAATTGTTTTCCTACTTTCTCTCAGTGAGTCTGTTTGTGTACAAGAAGGGTATTGATTTTTGAGTGTTGACTTTGTATCCAGCTGCTCTACTGAATATGTCAATGAAGTCTAGAAGTCTTTTGGCAGAGTTTTTTGTGTCATGTAGAGTATCAGTCATATCAGCAAATAGTGATAGTTTAACCTCTTTCCTGTCTTTATTCCTTTTTATTTCTTTCTCTTGTGTAATTGCTGTGGCTAATGTTTCTAGAACTGTATTGAACAGGAGTGGTGATAGTGGACATTCTTGTCTTGTTCCTGATTTTTTTTTTTTTTGGTACCAGGGATTGAACTCGGGTCCTTGCACTTGCAAGGCAGGCCACCGAACCGCTGAGCTAATTCCCCAGCCCTAGTTCCTGATTTTATTGTGAAGGTTTTCAGTTTCTGACCATTTAGAATGATGTTGGCTGTTGGTCTTTCATAGATAGCCTTTATCAGATTGAGATAAAGACCATCTATTCCAATTTTCTGCAGGATTTTTATCATGAATGGGTGTTGGATTTTGTCGAGTGCTTTTTCTGTGTCTATTGATTTGATCATATGATTTTTGTCCTTGACTCTGTTAATACAGTATATTACATTTATTGATTTGCATATGTTAAACCATCCTTGGATCCCTGGGATAAATCCAACTTGGTCAGGGTGGATGATCTTCTTGATTATCTTCTGTTTGCCAGTATCTTATTGAGGATTTTTTCATCTATGTTCATTAGTGAAATTGGCTAGTAGTTCTCTTTTTTTGGTTGGGTTTTTCCCTGGTTTTGGAATCAAAGTAACACTTGCTTCCAGGGATGAATTTGGAAGTATTGCTTCCCTTTTAATTTCATTGAAGAATTTAAAGAGTAGTGGCAGTAGTTCTCTAAATGTCTTGTAGAATTCAGCAGTGAAGCCATCAGGACCTGGGCTTTTCTTTGTTGGTAATATCTTAATTATATTTTGAATTTCACTGAATGTAATTGGGGCGTTTGGATTTTTTATAACTTGTTCATTCAACTTTAGAAGTTCATATTTATCTAGGAATCTGTCCATTTCTTCCATATTTTCCATTTTATTACAGTACGGGTCCTTGACATAGGTATTGATCCTCTGGATTTCTGGTGGATCTGTTGTGGCTTCACTTTTTTCATTCCTAATTGCATGAATCTGAGCCTTTTCTTTCCTTTTTTTGATAACATTGGCTAAGCGTTTATTGGTTTTATTCTTTCCCAAACCAACTCTTTGATTCATTGATTTTTTTTTTTTTTTTTTTTGGTACAGGTCTCTTAGTCTCCATTGCATTAATTTCTGCTATCTTTATAATTTCCTCCCTTGTACGAGCTTTTGGTTTGTCTTGCTCTTCTTTTTCTAGAAGCTTAAGGTTAAGCATTAGGTCAGTCTGGTAATAATTGATTGAGTATTTTTTTAAAACTAGTGAATAAATATTTAATGAGAAAGAGGACATTTGCATATTCGCCAAATGTCTCCATCCAATTCACTTGCTAACTGCAAAAGGAAAAATGGTGCCTTTACAGCAGAAAGACCTGGATGCCAGCTGATCAGTGCGACAGGACAGACCTCCATCCTGTGCTTCCATCCCCTTCAGTCGTGTGGAAACACCCAGCTAAGTCAGTCTTTTAGAAATTATACAGCATAGCTCCTTCTGTGTGCTTTTCAAAAATATCAAACCACAGAAAGAGCAACTGCTTCAAATTAGAAATTCAAGAAACATGGCATCTAAACACAGTGTGTGATTCTAGACTGGATCCTAGACCCGAGTAAAAATTCTGATTTTTATTTTGCTGTAAAAGACATGATTAGGAAAATGGGCAAACCTTGAATAAGATCTACAAATTAGGTAATTATTACTGTATCTGTGTTAGCACCCTGATTTTGATCATTTTACTATGCTACATGTAAGGGAATGTTAAGATAGCTTTTTACGAAATATACTCTAAAGTGTTTAAGGGTAAAGACATTTAGTAGATACAACTTACTCTAAAACATTGTAGGAAAAAAGTTGTGTTATGTGTACATAAATAAGATGCATGTGTGGATATAGGGAAGGATTTGAGGGCAGAATGATAAGGCAAATGTGATAAAACGGGAAGTCTAGATCGAGTGTATAGACGTTCTTTGTACTGTGTTTATGATGTTTCTGAAAGTCTGAAATTATTAAAAAATAAATAATTTAAAAAGTACTCAGTTTTGCTGGGTAGAAGTAGATGGTGTTGGGCAAGGGGAGCATTCATGGTAGAACCTTCTTAGTAGAGAAAAATTTAAGCGACAGTATGCAAAACTCCGAGCTTGCATTACCACCCAGTACTCCTGGAAAAATTAGACAAGCCTGGTGTAGTGGCCCATGCCTACAGTTCCAGCACTCTGGGAGGCTGCGGCAGGAGGATAACAAGTTTTAGCCCACCCTGAATAACTTAGTGAGACATTGTCTCAAAAAAATTTTAAAAAGTTTTTAAAAAATAGGCAAATAGGCTGGGGCTGTAGTTCAACATGAAGGCCATGGGTTCAGTCCACACTAACACGAAAATGTGTCTTGTATGAAAATACATTATCATTTTTAAAGTTTACTCCTGCAGTATGTCTCCATAATCCTGTCAGTTTTTTCTTTCTCATAACTGGGGCTCGATCTTGGGGATCCAGATAAGCCCTTTGGTTTACAGTAAAACCTTGGTTTGTGAGAATAATTTGTTCTGTTCGTGATCTAGAGCACTTGTACCTCAAAGCAGGGAGAGAGAACCAGCTGTGTCCATGTGACATTTGGCGGGAGGTACTAGTGTTACAAAACATCACTCACTTATCAGGTTAAAACTTCTCAGAAAGGTTTGCTTCTCTGGTGAAACACTCACAGAATAACTTACTCACCGTCCAAGGTTTGTCTTTATTTTGGAATGTTCAGTTAATTGTCATCCTAGTCTTAACTTTTTCCCCTGTGGATGTGGATTGCTGAATTTTTTTTCTCCAGAATTTGCAGTTGGGCAATAGGGGGCAGCAATCCCCTCTGTAACGGATAATGCAGTTAAGCTCCTAGCTGGGGTAGAACTTTTTTGCTTTATCTCTCCTGAGAGCTCTACTTCCACCTCTCTTCCTCTCCTTTTCTTTTATCTGTGAGCTCCTTTGATAACTCATATTGCAGTTTAACAACAGCATTTCTGTTACTTCTTGGTTGAAATGCATACTTAGAATACTCCTATTGCTTGTACAAAGTACACATTTTTAAATGAACCAAAAAGGAGCAAGTTCTTACTTTTGAGTTTGGTTTCTATTAAAGCTTGCCTGGAAATGGCAAAGTTTAAATGTACTTTACTACATCAGTTTTCGTTCTCATGAAGTCTTCTGGGGTATGTCCAAGACTCTTCTGTGTGCAGCAGAACTTCTAGCTCTTGAAGGATGCAGTGTCACTTCCGAGAGTTGGAGTCCATGTACAGGTGATGTGCCTGTCTCTCCTTGCGTAATAAATACTAGCCTGTTGTAGGTACACAGAATGAGCTGGTTCATTCCTTCCTCACATGGTTGGTGCTCATGACGTCTGTAATTTTAGATATGTGGGGTGTGATTGTTTTTATTTCTCTTGATGGTAAATATTTTTTGATCCCTGTTTTTTTTAAGTGAGTTCATAAATTCAGATAGTTAATTACAACCTTGAGATTTTGATCCTGTTTACCATGTTTATTGTGATGTGACATTGAATTGCTTCATTGATTTTTCTCTCTCTTTTTTTCTCTGTAGGCACCAGAATTTCCAGAGTTCACCACTAAAGTCCAGGAAGCTATCAATTCCCTGGGGGGCAGTGTCTTCCCTAAGCTTAACTGGAGTGCACCAAGGGTAGGATCATAGAAGTAAACTCTTATTACTCCTGGTGTCTTTGTTTGGTTTTCTATTTCATTCTGTATTCCCATAGAGAGGGTCTGATTGTACCTAATTCTAGGAAAAAAGCTGAGGAATTTATTTTTGTTTTTCTGATTTTGTTTTTGTACTTTCTGGGGGCTGTGAAACACTACATATTCTGCCAAAAGATCATCTTGACCTCTTGTGTTGCGGTTGATTGCACTAGAATTCTGAAGTTCATTTTCTGCCCTTTTCAAAACTTCAGCTGTTCAACAGAGAATTTCTGTGTTGAAAAAATAATATTTAAAATGTCACAGGATATAATTTGAGAAATCAGCTGATATTTTCTTAAATTATGTTTTCTTATTTTAATACCCAATTGAGAGTAATTTTGCAGAAATTAAGGCCTGTTGGGGGGATCTCACTTTTTTTAATCTAATAGAGAACAATTTCATGTTAGCAAAGCTTATTTAAGAAATTAAAGGCTAGTCGAGCACAGTGGCACACTCCTGCCAGTAACCCCAGTAGCTCCAGAGCCTGAGGCAGGAGGATCACAAGTTTGAGCCCGCGCCTGGGCACCTTAGTGAGACCCTGCCTCAATAAAGGTAATAAAAAGTGCTGGGGTTGTAACTCTGTAAAAGTCCTGGGTTCAGTCCCTGGAACAAAAGAAGGGAGTGAGGGAGGGAGGGCTTCTTAGATTTTCCAGAATTCATCACATGCCTTTCTCTTTTTTATTTTTTATTTTATTTTATTTTTTTTGGTACTGGGGATTGAACTCGGGTCGTTGCGCTTGCAAAGCAGGCCACCAAACCACTGAGCTAAATCCCCAGCCCCCTTTCTCTTTTTTATTTGAAAATGAACTGTGAAATCTAATTTTGGGTTTTACTTTTTAAAATTAGTAATACATGACATAAACTTAAACTTCTCAGATACAAACCTGCTACAAAAATCAGTAGGTCCTGGCACCTGTTCCACGTCACCATTTCCTGCTCTCCAGAGTTAAAATTTTTTTTTCTTTTTTTTTTTTTTTTTTTTTTTTTTTCCGGTGTAACAGTATTGCCCAGGCTGACCTCAAACTTAGCATTCTCCTTTCTTATCCTCCCAGGTAGCTGTGAGGCATGGGCTACCACTCCCAGCAGTATAACAATAGTTTTAATCATTCCTTGCTGCTGAACTAGTTTGAGCCTTTGCACTTAAGATAGGCAGGCAGAGTATTTGTGGTTGAAAGCTATTCATTTGTTATTTACTGAGTGCCTTCTGTATAGCCATGTTTTCTCCATGTAGTGTAAATAGTTTTATTTATGGTCATTTATTTTCTCAGAAGTACTTTACTATCCTGCTTCTGATCAATCCACAATAGAGGTGCATTCTGTAGATGACTTCATTATCTTGTCACTTTTCGGCATGTTCCACTCAGCTTGGTACTGGATTATCTCCTTTTTGTTGTTGCTGTTCATGCATCTGAGACATTTCAGCACTTTAAGTTGTAAGGTTTCAGAAAATCACACTTACTGTCCTCCCAGATTTGACAGACATAGGTCTTGTCTTCCCCATCATCCAAGTGCACATGTTTGGCTGCCACTCCCCAGAAACAGGAAGTGATTTATTTTATTCTCGGGGAGCAGCTAATAAGGCTTCTTTACCACATTAACCTTTTAGCTGAAATGTGTTTCTTATATTTGTATCCGTCTTCTTCCAACATCAGTAAGAAAAACACCAGGAAGTACTCAAGGGTAGGCTAAAATATGAGGACCCTACTGTGTCAGTGTTCACAACTGTCTTCCACGCAGTGGTCATACTCTTTGTTACTGAAAAGTGTAATTTGATGTTGACAGTACTGATAAATTTATCTGAAGTTTTTCTTTTAAGCCTTGAAATGAGAGGCATCTTTTATTTTATTTATAGTCCTAAGTTTTGTGCTTAGACAGTAATGTGGTATTCTGCTGAACAGCATGTGCTCTGTTATCTAGGATGCCTACTGGATAGCAATGAATAGTTCTCTGAAGTGCAAGACCCTCAGTGACGTCTTCCTGCTTTTCAAGAGTTCTGACTTCATCACTCGTGACTTCACTCAGCCGTAAGTATCTCTTGTTCCCTCAGTATCAATAGTTCGAGTGCTGTGTGGATTTTTTTGTTGGTAAAATTTCATTACTTCTAGTACTATTTTGAACATTTCTTTATTATAAACTATTTCATCTTCACCAAGTAACCTGGTAAAGCAAACCTTACTTTGTTACAGTGAAAGCTGTGCAGTGACTATTCCTGAATATCAAAGACTTCATATTTGCACATTGAATATTTTATTTTTTTTTTTTTTTTTTTTTTTTTGTGGTAAGTGCCCCTAGTTTAATTCCTAGTATCACCTAGAAAAGCAAAGTTCAGTGCCAAAGAGGCACCGATTCTGCCACCTCCCCAGGGTCCCCTCCCATCCTGGGCTCAGCCCCCCCGCAAGAACAGGGAAGCTTCGTATCCGGCTCAAGCTCAGCACCTTTGTGGCCCTTCCTAGGGCCCCAGGTGCTGTGCCTGCCCACATCGGGCCAGCGGGAGGCCAAAGCCCAGCCCTGCCACTCCCCCCAGGGCCAGCACGAGGATGGGAAACACTTCTGAAGTCCTTTATTGGGCGGGTGGGGCCGGGAGCTCCCTGGAAGGGGGGTCCCCATCCCAGCAGAGCCTCGAGCCTACTCCTGCTGCTGCTCTGACCTGCTACTTGGTGCTCTCCTTCACGTACTCCCAGCCCTCCTTGGAGTACTCCAGGGCCATGGTGGGGGCCACCGACAGGGCTGACATCACTTTGATGATACCTGAATTCCAGGACTCCCGGAGGGGAAAGTTAATCTTTGGTGGGGCTGGGAGCTGAGCGATCAGCAGGCCGGTCTTCTTGCACACGTACTGGCTGAACTGGTACAAGGCCGGCGGAACCACCTCCTCCGCCTGCTGCAGGGCCGCCTTGCCCTTGTTGCTGGGCCCCAGCAGCTCCTGGTGGTACACCAGGTAGACGGCGCCCCCAGCCACGCTGCTTTTGAAGAGAAACCTCATCAGCGACCACACATGGGCCACCATGGTTGCTCGGATCCACGGGCAAGGACCCTCGACTCGCCCGCTGCTTCCGGTCGTGGGGGGCAATTCTTTTTCTTATTATAAAACCAGTAGATGTTGTAAAACAAAGTTAAGATCTGTAGCTAAACAAAACCAGGAAAAACAAAATCACCCGTGGTCTCCCCACACTTGGCTGTATACTTTCAGAATTCTGTGCACAACTATACAAATTACCTGCCTCTGTCTCTCTAAGATTTCTCAAAAAAAGGATCATATAGATCATATCAGTCAATTACTTTTCTTGTTGGTGAGACAAAATACCTGATACGCAACGTTAAAGGAGGAAAGGTTTATTTGGCTCACAGTGTGTAGAGGTTTCAGTTCATAGTTGGCTGGCTCCATGGCGGAGGAGAAACAGTCCATGACAAAGCAAGGCAGGCAAAAGGCAGCGAGCAGCAAACAAGCAACAAGCCATGAAACTAGCTGTCTCTCTGTCCCTTATGCTTAATTCAGGCTGCCCACCCGTAAGGTAGGTAACATTTATCCCCAGGGTGCGGTACTCTTAATTCGAGAAAGAACTATGCCAAATCAATCAGTGGACTAATTTAGTAATCACACAGCCTTAATCCCAGCATCATTCACTTAATTCCAGCATCACGCACACTAGATCCAGCACCTCTGAAAAAGCCCCACCTATGACCGCATGAAACTTTGAGGAGTCGTCTAGATACAAGCCATAGCAATGCATTTGCTTTTGCCAGTGTATGGTGACACCTTTACATGTCTTTAAATACATCAGTTTATGATCAATGTTCATTACCTTAGTGCCCCTGGGTAGTAGTAGCATGATATGTTTGGTCAATCCCCTTTTCTTCTATAAAGCCCTGTAGTTAATATCCTTGAGCTAAATCTCTGTGTCCCTAGTTTTTTCCTTAGGATTTCCAGAAGTGGAAATTCTGCTTCCTTCCTTCGCCTCTCTCTGTAGCTAAATATTTTGACCTTGCGTTGTCTGCTCTTAGGCAAACAGAACACTCACCCCATTGTAGGTGTTCCCTTTATGCTTCTTTTGTTCTCTTCCTGTTATCTTAAACAATTTATCTCAGTTAAACTAATCTTTAATCTGGCCTTTAAAATGAAGCATATCTCCAAATCCAGACGCTAAGCAGAACAAGGGTGAAGATACTGCTCGTGCAGACCATCCTTGCCCATCCAGTTGCGTTTGCCTGGCCAGTTCATCCTCTTTCAGCCACAGGGCCGCCTTTGAAATGCAGCCTGGCATGAATCAATGAGTAGTGCCTCCGCTCTGTTGTACCTGAGCTCTGTAGTTTGGGCATGCAGGTGTGGTATTATGTTAAGAGCAAAACAGAGAAAGCAGCTCTGTAGCCATCAAGGAGTGTGGTGGTGTTGCAAGTTTGTTGTGAAAGGATTTTAGGGCCTGAGGGTGTAGCTCGTGGTAGAACATGCGTATAGAGTGTGCAGGGCCTGGGTTCAGTCCCTAAAACCAGAAATAATAAAGGAGTTTACTTGTATTGGTATTTCTGGCTTTAAAGAAAAATGCATATATTGTTTTGAAAGTTACTGGCGTTTTGTGTCTTTGCACAGGTGTTCTTTGAAGTTGGCAGCCCTTCTTTTATTAACAGGGTGCCAGCATTTTCACCTGGGGATAACCTCTCTTTAGAAGAAAGTCATAGTCTTTTTCCATAAAGCTTTTTGACATCTAATGCTTAAAATAAAGAGGCCTTGGAATATATTACATTAAAACTATTCTGTTCCTGTGGACTCACCCAATAGGGACTTTTGTGTATCTTTAGTATCATTCATTCAGGGTGTAAAGGCACCTTTAAGTGCTTCTGTTAAAAATCACTTCTAATTCTGAAGCTCCTGATTTTGAAAATCCACTTTGTGGTTTAGAAATCTGCTTCCTTAGTTTAACTTACCTCTTCCTTTTTGTCTTTACTGATGTTCAAATGAGCAGTAGAAACACAAATCCGTTGTTTTGCATTTTGTACTGTTAAGACTTTTGCATAAGAAGGAGGTTAACTGAATTTGAAACCTGGGATTTAGAGGGGTGACCCCAGAAAGCTTGTGTAAGCAGTTGGGTGCTGGCAGCAATAGGTACTGAACATTAAACTGTGAGCCTCCTCGCTGAGCATTTCTAACATGCCCCCCTTTTCTAGAAGCATTTGTTGGTCGTCAGTTACACAGCAATTAATAAGCCAGCTGCGTAACAGCAAATGTCATCATGTCAAAGTCCCTCTCGATGGAACTCAGTAAATATGAACTTGTGTGGCTGGGGTTTCCTTAATGGAAGAGCATCTGCCTAACATGTGAGAGGTGCTGGGTTTCATCCATAGCACCAAAATAAAAAAGAGAGAGAGCTTTTGTCACAGGGCCTTATCAGAAGCTCTTAAAAAATTAAATTATGAGCATAATTGTTCACATTGAATAGGATCATACTAGTGGTTGCATCTGACCCTTTTCTGCTGTTGGTTAGAAACCAGAGACTTAAATCTCTTCCATAATTGGTTCAGGGTTCCATACCTTGTTAGTTCAACCAAAAGTATAATTTCAGTAACTCATTTGAAAAGTTCTTTACAGTTATGCTTAATAAAGTCACAGATTCTTTTTTTCACAATGTTTCCAAGTAAAATATGTAATTTTTTTAAACCACTAAATATAATTATGGGCAATATGCATAAAGTATACAATGTTATTATATTACTTTGAGGCTTGCCTTGAACTAAAGAAAGAAATACGTTATGGTCAGGATTGCATGTTAACAAAAGGCCAAGTGACAGTAGTTTACACATGGGGTTTAAAACAATATATTCTTGGACTGGGGCTGTAGCTCAGTTGTACAGCATTTGCCTACCATGCCTGAGCCCCTAGTTTCGGTCTCCAGCTTAGAAGGAAGAAATGGAGGAAAGGAAGAAAATCTGAGTAATTTAAGAATATACTATTTAATAGGAGTTTGGAGGCTAATTTTAGAGTTGATTTAGCAGCTCCTAAGGTCACCAGGAAAATGTCTTTTAGTCTTTCTCCTCTGCCTTCTTTGGCTGGTTAGTGTGGTCTTTGGGTTTATCATGCAATGATCCCAAGATTGCTGCCACAGTTTTAAGATGTATGACACAAAGACACGACAGTAGCTGAACCTAAAGAAGAACAAGCACACTTCCTCTCACTCTTTCCCTTTGATGAAGAGCTTCCCAGGAGACTCCTTGCAGGCCTGTAGTCACGTGGCCAGCCCAATCCAGGAGGTGCAAAGTGAACAGTCGGGCATTATTTGTTAGGGCCAGGGGCTCGCAAATGTTAGCGTGTGTCAGAGTCATCTGCAGAGCTAGATGAACACAGATTGCTGGCCCTGGTCCTGCCCCACCCCGGGAGTTTCTGATTCAGTGGGTGGAGTGGGGCCCAGCCTTGACGATTCACCTGTCCCAGGTGATATTTTAGTGCAGGTCCAGCCCATGCTTTCAGGACTGCTTAGATCAATCAATACATGCACCCAGATACCTTGGATGAATGACTTAAAAGAAGGGAAGTTTACCTTTGCTCGCAGTTTCAAAGTTTTCGGCTCATGGTTGATTGGCTGCCAGGCCTGTTGTGGCCTAGGGTGTCATGGCACATGTGTGTGTGGTGGAGGAGGCCCATTCACCCCATGGTGGCCGAGAAGCCAAGAGAAAGACAGGAGGAGCCAGGTTCCCTCTGTCCCTGTTAGGGCTGTACCCCCAGTGATGTACTTGCCACTGGGCCCACCTTCTAAAGTGCTGCCCCACCCAGTGATGCCGTGGGCTTGGGCCACACCTGCAGAACGTGGGCTTTGGGGGGACATTCATGAGCCGGACTGTAGTGGAGGTGATCAGGAAGCGGAGGTGCTCTAGGGTTAGAACAGCAAACAGGGGCTGCTACAGCTGTCACTTGCTGTAGACTAGTAAGTGCTGGTTTCACTTTTCCTGTCCCTCAAATGGTTACAGTAGACAAACTTTAAAAAGCAGGGTTAGAATATAGCACGTGGGACGTAATCAGTCTGCATTGTACTTGCTGACCTGTTACTTGCTGAGGTATGAGCTGCTTTTATTAATTATTTTATTGATTGAAGTGTCACCTCCATAGGCCAGAGCAAGAAAATCATTCTGCTCTGCAGTTGATATTTAGAAGAGAAGGATGGGTGGGTGGAAAAAAAGAATCCATTCATTATTTCTCCATGACTAAGGAGAAGTAGATTAGATAATAGTCTAAGTAATTTAAATCAACTCTGTTCAAGGCAGTTTTTAGATTTTTTTTCTTAAGATGATCACAAGTCCAATTATTGCTGTATTCCCTCTTACCTGCAGAGGATGTGTCCCCGGGCCCCAGGCGAATGAATGCAGAAACCACAGGTGGCGCTGAACTTGGCACCATTTTTTTCCTGCACGCACATACCTATGACAAACTCCCACCTTTTCATGTACAGGGAGCACTTTATGACTTCTCTGGCATCTGAATTCCCCAGCATCAATTCCTCTTGCACTCAGGAGTCGTTATTAAGTAAAGTAAGGGTCACTTGAACACAGGTGTTGCAGTCTTGCGACCCTAGGTCTGATGAGGGAGATATAGCCAGGTGACAGATGGGTGGGATGCGGGGTGATTCACATCCCACTCAGGACACAGCCAGACGAGCTTACTCATGCCGAGCACTAGTTTAACACTTAGCATCTGTTTCTATGCAGAAGTTACCCTTAATATTTTTGAAAATGACCATTTTCACCGGTAACTGAAACCCAGATGAAGGGAGACTGCTCTACTTGCAGAGTTCAGCAAAGTCTCAGGAGTAAAATTTTTTTGTCCAAGTGGACCTAACAGAACCTTTGCCTGTCATTTTCCAGGTCCTCTTATTTAGATGACAGTTTTTCTGCTTTGGATTGTTTGAGTTTTAGGTAGTGTGTTATATCTCTTCTTGAAGAAAACTGAAAATTCTAATGAACCCACCTAATCATCCTTATTTTGCAATTATTGTACTTTCTTCTTTCCTTTTCCCACCAGCTAAAACTTTCAAGAAGTGG